CTTCACAGCTCCAAAAAGCACTTTGGCATTGCTGCTTTTGCAGTTGCTGGCTGTCACACTCTGCAAAGGTTCTGAGTGAGCCTGCCTGCCCCCTGTCCCTGCCAGCTGCACAGGGAACTGTAGGAAGCACTGTGCTGCTACCAGAAAGTGTGGCAAGGAGCACTGAGACGGTCTGCCAGGGAGGAGGTCATGGATTCTCCCTCTCTGGAGGCATTCAAAACCCACCTGGACATACTTCTGTGTAACCTGCTTTAGGTGACCCTAACTTAGCAGGGGGGTTGGACTAGATGATCTCCAAAAGTCCTTCCAACCATACCAGTTCCATGATTCTGTTACAGCATTCATACCCTGCTCCCAAAAGCCTGGAGTTCAGGAGCTGCTTCCCAAGGGACCCAGCTCTCCTGCTGAGCCTTGCCTCCAGCCCCTTGAGCACCCCTTGGGCTGATAGTGGTACCCCCAGCAGGGTCAGGCAAAGGGCTGTGACAGCTCCAACACTAATGGGTGAGATGAACACTACAATACCCTACAACTGCAGAGGTGTTGCCATGGCCAGCACTACCCACAGCACGTGCCAGGGGCTTGATGTCTGATTTGCTGGAAGAACCAGAACGAGCCAGGAGAACCCTTTCTGGACTTCAGGCTTGGCTCCGTGGGGAGGGCAAAGTTAGCAGTGGGTAAAGGAGAAGTCTGTTTTTTCCCCTCTTGCAGGAGTCCTGTTTTACCCCTTTGCCCTTTCTTTACCTCGTCTGTATTTTTCAGGTTTTGCACACTTCTTGTAAACATCACTTAAAAATAAATCTCCCCCAGTAAGGTTGATGCAGCCTCAGGTGTTTTCCTCTGCAGGAATTTGCTGGCTTCTCATGTCCAAGAGATCCATTACATGTCAGTTAGATGCCTTGAAGGTTGAAGATGTGCCTCCTAGGTTGCCCCCCAGCCTTCCCCTCTCCATCTTTGGAGATATTAAGATGTTAAGTATCCATCTGTGGAGATGTTTAGTCCCTGACTGGATGTGGTCCTGGACAACCTGCTGTAGCTGACCCTGTGCAAGCAAGGAGTTGGACCTGGTGGTCTTCAGGGGTCCCTGCCAAGCCTCACCTCTTTTGTAATGTTGGCTGGTGCTCTTGTGAGGTTGTAGTGAACAGCAGCCAGTAAATTGCCCATGTGCTGCACAAGTGATTAGGACAAGGTTATATATAATAACTTTATGTATACAGTTACAAATGATATATTTGTAACAATAACTGCTGTTCATGGCAAGTGTACACAGATTAACCTTGCTGAGGGTTGGACTGGGCTTGCATCTCTGTTGGGGGACACTTGTCTGAAAGATGGAGAAAGACTTTAGTTTTCAATTTCCAGCATGGTGAGGGGGATCAGGGTGCATTTTCGGGGACTGGGAGAGTGCAGTGACAGGGTGAACTCTGGGGCTGAGTCTTCTTCATGTGCAACTTTAAGGAGATTACAACAGACTGTGCTCTCTGCTGCCCAAGGAAGAGGGACCCATGATGGTTATCTTACTTTGTGCTGCCTCAAAGATGTAGAACTTCCTACCAAGTTTTCCATCTATGTTTCTTTTCCTTCTTTTTTTTGTTTTACCTTTTTTTTTAAAAAGCAGTTTGTTAAAATTCATTAAAAATACTGTATAGTTTAACTTGATGTCATACTGGATCTTTAACAAAAAAGAGATGTGGTAACTTGGATTTTTAAAGAACTCCTTAGTTCTAGGTAGCTGGTTTTTGCTGTTTAATATGTAGTAACTTCAGTGTATGCTTTATTGTAGGAGTAAAAGAGAGTCCAAACAAAGGATGGTTAATCCTGTCTTTACAGAAGGGCTTGGTGGTGATGGAGGCTGCAGGTGTGGGACCAGATGAGGACTGTGGCACGCACCTGAACTCTTGCTGTGTTCCTGCCTTGGGCCATGGTTCCTCTGCTCTTGCCCAGCACAGCTGCCAGGGGTTCAGTGGTCACCCTGAGCACTTGGGCACAGCACTGGCAGCCAGGATCAGTGCCCAGGGCTCAGAGATTGCAGAGAGGCTCATCTTCCCTAGAGAGGAGGGTGTGAGATAGTCAGATGCAGCCTCCATGGGCTTTTGTGTCTCTGCTGTTTCTTCCTGGGGGAGATGCTGGCTAGAGGAGGGTTTGGAGAAATCATCAGCTGGCTGTGCCCTGCTCCCTTCCCTCCCCAGGAGCTTGGGGGAGCTGCCTGGGTGATGCCTGGCACTTGGAGCAGAGGAGGATGGTGGTGAACCCCAGACACAGCTCCACACTATGTGGGGGCCTTAGAGCTGCCAGATCCTATCCCCTTGGTACAGCTGGACATAGAGACTGTTGGGAAGTGTTTCTCTTCTCTGAGCAGCTGGGAAAGCCCTGGATATCCCAGTGAGGAGCTATGGCTCTCTGCAGGGGCAGAGAGAGACTCATCAGGGCTATGTGCATGGGGCCCCATGCTGGGGAGAGAGGGAATGCTGTGGGGAGCTTGGGAGGGATGAGCCCCAGTCCAGGTCATCAGGTGGTGAATAGGTGCCTCCAGGTTCAAAAACATCATGGTGCAGGATTAGAACATTATTATTAGGATGGGCTATGAGTCCATAGTGACTCAGTCTCTTGTTTCATTTGCTGCCCTGCAACAGCCCAAATCCAGCAGAAGCCCATGGAGAACATGCAGCTGGAGCTTGCAGGTGGAGGACCTGTGTGGGGTGGGCACTGAGTGGCCACAGAGAGCTTTGGGTATATTTTTATAGGAGCATTTTCTATTTGGAAGCAGCAGTGTTGCCTACAGGGGTAGGGGAAGCAGGTCCATTTCTGTTGCTGTGCCTTTGGGTCGTGTTTTGTGCAGTGAGGTGGGAGGTGGTGGAAGTAGCAGGAGGCCCCTGAGTGTCAGGAGCGCTGTGCTGTGTGGGGAGGCAGGGGCTGGTCTGGGAGCTGATGTCCCTGGGGCATCACACTGCAGGGCTCTCTGCTGACTGCTGGTGTTTCCTTTTCAAACCAAAGAGCGGTTGGGGCCAAAGCCCTTTGGGAAGTAAACCATGTCTCTACTCTGTACCTGTTGCACTTAACTTCTAGTGTTTATTTCAAGCAACTCCTGCCTCTGCTCGGCCTCTTCCATTCCTCACTGCCCTGCAGCACCTAAAAGAGTTGCTGTGCTGGAGCTGGTGTGCCATTAGCCCCGTGGCAAGCACTTGATCCAGTTCAAGACCTGGTTACCAGAGCACCTGAGGATGCTGTGTGGGGCTGGGTAGCGGGTGGTCCCTCCTGCAGGGTGGTTCTCTGCAGGCAGTCTGAGCATGGGATGCTGTTGAGTAGGCAGAGAGGAGGGTTAAGTTGGCAGAGTCCTGCTGTCTAGGACTGCTGTTCCTCTGGCTTCCTGGGTCCAGGAAAAGGTAGTCCATGAGCTGGGCTTTTACTGATCTTCACTTCCCTGACCCTACCTACAGGATGCCTTTAGCTGTCTCAGCGCCTTCCACAGCTTATCTTTTTAAAAGACATTCTCAGCTTCTTTTCTCTTTGTTCAGTTCTTTATTTGTAAGCAGTGGTTTGCTTTTCATTCCTTCTTCCATACTGATTGTGAAGTCTCTTCCTTCATTCCCACCTCCCTCCACTCCCCCCCAGGCCCAAATTCCTTTCCCAGGCTGAGGCTGGATCCAGGTGATACCAAACCACTGGTGGTGAGATCAGGTGTTTAGGACCTGAATCTTGCTGGAATCTAGTGTGTGCTTCTGGCCATTGCCCCCAGCAGGCCATCCATTTCACTTTGCATGGGCAATGCCTGTGACCTGGCAGCTTGGCTTGTCCGGATCCCGCCCATGCTCCAACAAGTGAATCCAAGCCAGGACCGAGAGCCAGAACAGGGCTGTAGGAAAAGGGGACTGGGGTGGGAGCAGACATTTCCATCTCCAAGGCTGGGGATGAAGTCAGTGAAGGACTGTCAGACATTGTCATGGCACTGGGGTGGGCTCAGACAGCGCAGTTAGTTCCCCTGGGTGCTGTGGAGCAGCTGTGTGCATCAAGCAGGCAGCTGAGCCGAGTTAGCTGTGCCATGGACACCCCTGGGACCGTGGGGGTGCTCAGGTGGCCATGCCAGCTCCCCAGTGAGCAGATGCCATCTCTTCAATCTGGGTGGGAAGATGTACACCCTGTGGTCTTGGGGCCCATGTGCTGGACTGGGGACAAAGGGGAAAGCATCCTCTGACAGAGTTTTGGGACCATCTCTGGGTACTCAAGCCTGCCCTTGCAGGGAGGAGGGAGGAGATCACTTTCTGCACTTCCCTTGGGTATTTGCCATCATGTCCAGGCTGCAGCTGAAGCCTGGCCATTAAAAAATAGGCAAAACCCTCTTGTTATTCTTCAGAGTTTGACTCTTTCTCCATTGGGTAGCAAGTTCACCTGTGGGAAGGTTCCTGTGCGTGCAGGTGAAATGCTGAGATTCAGTAAGGGCAGGCCAGTGAGGTTTGGGGCTGGCAGCTCCCCCCAGGCCTGGTGAGCACCCAGTTTCTCCCCAGCTGCCCAGCTTCCTCTGCAGCATCTCCTGGCAGCTGCCTCTGACACTTTCTGGATGTGAAGATGCTGCTCTCACAGCGTGCCTGGGATGCTCAGTGGGGAGAGCAGGACCACAGGTGGGAGCTGGACCTTGAGCTTGTTTCTGAGTGCCTCCAAGCCGTGGATCTGAGGGACTTCATGGTCAGTGAGATTCTCTGGTGCCTCCCAACCTGTGGTCATGACTCTGGTAGAGTTCCCAGGGCTGATGGAAGTTGCAGCCAAGGTTGCTGAGGTTTGTGTGGCTTGCAGTGCCTTTAACACTGCTCTCCATGTGTTTCTAAGATGATACTCCATGTATGTGTGTATATATATTGTAATAACACATCCCGCTCTTCTGTGTGAGTGTCAAATGGTTTTGCTTTACTAATAAATTTATAGTTATTTATACCTTCCTGTGGGTGTGTAAGATTTCTGGAGCAGAGACCATGTGCCAAGCACTGCCTCTTCATCTGTCTTTGTGCTCTGTCTGGCTCTGCTAGGTTTTTTTTTCATGTTTTCTTTCTTTCCCCTGAACTCTTTTGAAGTAGAATTGATAGTTCGTCATCCTGGTAACCAGAAGATGCAGAGGGTATGAGCAGGCTCCCAGGGGCCTGCTGAAAAGCAAACACAAGCAGAGTATGCTGAGAGGTTTTCCCCCTTGCTAGAATTGAAATGATCCCTCCCCAGGGCAAAACTTCTCCCTGGGAGCTACAGGGCAGGAGCAGGCAGGAGCCCTGCCAGAAAGGAGCAGCTGTTCAGGGGGCAGAAGCTGCTGCATGTTGTGCTCTGGGGATCCCAGCCCCACACACAACTGTTCAGGCTTTTCCTGAGGGTTTGTTTTGCATCCCCCATCCTGTGATAGCAAGAGGGAAGGCTGCTACAGAGGTGCAGGGACCAGGCAGGATGGCTGCTTGTTGCCCACCAGGATGGAGACACCCATGGAGGCAGGGAAAGAGGAACTGGGTCAGGGAGCTCCAGTGCTGCTCCGAGGAGCTCTGGATATACAGAAACAGGCGGGACATGGAGCAGAGAAGCCGTGCTGGTACCTGGATTCCAGGGTATCACTGTGGCCAAGATTAGGGGCAGTGGGAAAGGCTGGCAGTCATGCAGGGCTGGAGGTAAACGGATCAAGCAGCAATTGGCAGGCTCAGCAAGGAGAGGCTTAGCTCAGCCCAGCACAGATTGGCTCTCGTTGCTCTGGAGCTGGGACAGAGCTGTGGGTGGAGCACCCTCAGCACATCACCTTGTGTCACCCCACGGGGTTTCAGCAGCTCCACTGCTGCTCCTCTGCACATCCCTGCACCCACCTGTGCATGGGTGAGACGACTGCCTTCCCCACAGCACTGCTGGTGAGTGCCTGGGGTAGCTTTGGTGGCTCCAGGGATTCTCAAACCTGCTTGATTTTGGGGGGGTTTTGCAGCCCCCTGCACCAAAGCCAGGCTGGCTGCTGGAAGCCTGGGCACTCAGGACAGCTGGGTGCCAGTAATCCCATTTGCAGGCAGCACAGGGCTAATCCTCACAGAGCGCTGAGCGGATTGAGCTGGGTTTGGGGGCTCAGTGGCGAGCTGCAGTGGCTGAGGGAGCCCACACATCGCAGGGGTGGCTTCCCAGGGAGGCAGTGGTGAGCCTGGCAGGGGTAAGTGGCAGTGATGGAGGTGAGGGAGAAGGCTGGGATTTTTGCAGGACCACCTCTGCACATCACAGGGGGGTTTGGTGATCCGAAACAGAGTCAGAGGATGAGCTGTGCCGGTCCATGGGGAGTGATGCTGCAAGGACTGGGTAATGTGGAGGTTTGATCAGTTGCTGGGGGAGAAGGAAAGGCTGTGATGCTTCCTGCTCCAAATGAGACCATGGATCTGTGCCCTTCTTGCTCTTAGAAATGAGACTAAAGCCCTTTGCTGGCTGGCAAAAGAAATTGACGCAACAGGTGGTGGCACCGCTGGGTGCCTGCAATGCAGCAGGATGCATAAGACTGCCAACTCTTTAGTGTCATTGAAGGCAAATCCTGGCCACTTATTCCTATTTCTTTCAGCAGCTAGTTTTGTGGAGACCCACAAATGTTTCTGCCCACTTCTTTTTCAGATTTGGCAGAGGAGCAGCCTCTGCCCTCCAATTTCTTTCTCAGACCAAGGACAGGTGTATGGTCCAGGCTTTTACAGCTGCACAAGCTCATGTCAAGAAGAGGAGGAACCCTTGGCTGACAAGGGGGACTTGCTGCAGTCTCAGGGGGCTTTCTCCAGGATTGTTTGGCCTCAGTTGTGTACATGGACCCTGGGCTTCTTTGGGACCTGTGAGAGTGCCAAAGCATGGGTGGAAATGCCTCTGCTGCACAGCACTGGCAGCTTTTCCTTGCTGTTCCCAGGGCATTCACAGCTCCTTAATCCCTTATACCCAGTGAGAGATACAAGGTAATTTAATTGGTTTCTGGTTGTCAGGCCTGTCGGGAGGTGTTTTACAGCCCCTCTGTCCAGCTGTGGGATGTGGGGGTCTCTGGGAGAGCTGACCCTGCCCATGGTGTGCTGGGGGCTGGAAATGCTGTGTGGAGCGATGCTGTGGCTGCATCCAAACCTGGCTCCTGGCCTTGCTGAGGTGCAGGCAAGCGAAGGGCTGAGGACACACATCACCCTTCCTGCAAATCCCAGGCCAGATTTAAGGAGCCAGGCTTTGGAGAGCCCCCAGTGAGCCATCACAAGGGAACTGAAGATGTCTTGCATGCCTGAAAGCTGCATATGAGGGGTTAATTCAAAGAGCCCAGTGCTGAGCAGCTTCCAGCCTCTACCTGCTGCATGTGGGACTGGGATCATGTGTGTAACTGGGATTGAAACTCCAGTGCAGTCTCCTGGCTGAGCTGGAAGGAGCTCAGGGATCTGCTTTCTTTTGCCCTTCACAGCTATCACCTGGGGGCTGTCTGAGCACCTGAGGTGCTCCTGAGCCCTTCATTGAGCAGATTGGGGAATCTTTAGAGGGGCATTTTGGGCAGAGTGCAGCCCTTCAGAGGGGCAACAGCAAGTGACACCCCAGTTTGAGCTGGATGAGAGCCTTGTTCAGTTCAGCTCTTGTTCTCTTGTTCAGTACCTAAGAATGGGAATGTGCAGCATCACTTGGCTCGCTGGTGCTGTATCCCAGCCTGGACCTGCTTCACAGAGGGAAGGAAGGGACCCAAAAAGACCAAGCAGCCAGAGCTTGGACAGCTGAATCCCTGCTCTACAACATCTTACTTTTACCTAACCTATCAACATAGCAGCGAGTGCTGGATGCCTTTGCTGCCCTTGCCAGAGCCCCCAGCAGCCACCATGTCCCTGGGATGTGGCTGAAAGGTGGTGGAGCAGAGTTGTTTTAGGAGCAGAAAGAGGGGGTATGTTTTTAATGAACTTCCTCATTAAAAAATTCTGTTCAAATTACTGTTCAGCTTCCCTCCAATGAAAAATGGTGGGGAGAGTAGAGGACCCTGAGCAGAGCATCACAATTTCTGTGATCTATCTGCAATGGCCTCCTAGTCAGGACAGGTTGTGAAAATAAAACATCTAACTGAGAAGCTACCTTTAGGAAAAGCAAGTTTAACTGAGATGGTGAGAATAAAATAGAGTGAGTAGTTTGCTCACAGTAGCAGTGAGGGATGAGGAGCTGAGCTGGGTTTGCTCTGGCTGTGCTGCAGTGCCGTGTTTCCCAAGCAGGACGTGGAAACAGAAGGACACCAAGGACCTTTTTGGGCTGCTCAGGAGACAGAGTGAACAGCTGGTGCAGCTGCTATTCCCTGGGCAGCGTGCATCCCTGCTGCTGGGCTCTTGCCAGCTGGAGACCCCTCAGCACTGCCCGCAGCCAGCGGGATGATGGGCTGGATTGACCGGGTGGTGCCCCAGCCCCCGGTGCCCCACGTGGCAGAGGAGACCCCTGTGCGGGAGCTGGAGCCAGCTAAGGTGAGCAGAGAGCCAGCTTGGGGATGATGGGGACACCATGAGGAAGATGAGAGGTGCCTGGTGCCTCTGCATCCATCCCCTGCAGCACCCAGGGATGCTCCACAGCATCCCCAGGAGGGATGGGGGCTGGGATGCACTCCTGCTCTGAGCTGCTGGGAAGCAGCAGGAGGATGGGGAGTCCCTGGGGTTTGCAGCCACCTTTGAACAGGGACAGTGTCCCTCGTGCCTCATTCTCTGACACCTTCTGCCTTTTGCCCTGAAGGCACCAACAGGAAAGGCCAGTGGTCCCACAGATGTTGCTGACCGGGCACGCACTGAGGGTAAGCCCCACACTGGCTCAGGCTGCACATCATTGTTCCTGTACCCACCTTTCTCACTCCTGCCTGGCCTCCTGGGGGCTGCCAGAGTGGTGATAAGAGCTTGTTTTATTTTCCCCTGCTGCCATTGAAGAAACGGAAAAGAAAGTGACCTTTGTGGTCTCTGAGGACTCGAGTTCTGTGTTTGACAGGTACAGCTCCTGCACCCTTCGTGCAACATGATTTGATTGGGATTTTGCTTTTCGGGGGTGGGATGCCTTGGATGGTGTTCCCAGCTTGACTCACACCCTTTCCTGGCAGTGTGGGGAGTAGTGTGCTCTCCTGGCTCTCCTATGGGCTGGAGAAGGTGATTCCCCAGCCAGCCCCAGCCCCAGGGCTGCAGGCACTCGGGAAGAGCTTCGAGACAAGCATCGACATTGCTGATGAGGTAGGAGACAGATCTGGGAAGTGGTTTGGTGTATTTGAGCTTCTACCTCTTTTTACCTTTTCTTCTTTTTTTCTTCTTATCACCCTCCCAGTGCTAACTGGGAGCACTAAACCCTCCCTGCATGGGTTTCTGCCCTCATCCATCCCTGGGGAAAGGGCAGGTTTCCCTCCCCACTCAGCGGGATGATCCCTCTCTTGGGCTGTCGGGTTTTCAGACAATCTGTTCGGCTTTTCAGACAGAGGTCCAGGTCCTTGGGGATGAGGACGACGATGGTCTGGGTAAGGAGAGCAGGGAGTTGGTAGTTTGCAGCATCCTGGACTCCCACATCCCACCTCCCCGACTGGTGATGCCAGCACTATTGTCCCCTTGTGCTGGCTGATGGGGGGACCTGAAGCTGCCAGCAGTGCAGATTCCCCACGCCCACAGCAGTGCTCTCCTTGCAGAGATAACTCCCTTCGATCCCGAGGAGGACGTCTCCGAGGGCGAAGCGGAGCCCGTCCCGCAGGAGTGGTGGGTGCCCCACCAGGTCTGGGGGGATGTGGGAGGGCAGGAGGGCGCAGGATGAGCTCCCTGAGCCCGGTGCTCTCCCTCAGGGCAGGAAACCGGGTGCTCAGCTGGCTGTCACAGGGCTTCGAGAGGATTTTGCCGCAGCCAGAGGGGACGAAAAAGCTGGAGGTGAGCACTGCCCAGCTCGGGAAGAATTGGGGGCTACCGGGTAGAGATGAGAATGAGGCGAGCTCCCTGCCTTCATCTTCCTGTACATCCCAGCTGGGACCTTGGGGAAGAAAGCCCCAAGGGAATTCAGCAGAGCAAAAAAAGACCTCTGGGTGCCCCCCCCGGTGTTCCTCAACCCTGCTGCAGGGAGGACCCTTCATTTGGGACTGACCTGCTGGTGTCAGCAGCGCTGGTGTCTGGGTTAAATGGTTATTGTCATGGCAATGGGGCTGAAACCACAGCGGGCATGGTTGGGTGTGTGGGGCTGAGATGTGGCTCCTCTTGTGGTGGGGGCATGTCCACCTGGGGTGGCCTGAGGGCTCAGGCAGTGCTTTGCCACGTCCATCCGTCCGTCTGTCCCTCCCCAGACAGAGCCGAAGGAGAAGAGCGAAGGAGCGGTGGAAGGTGAGCGATCCGATCCCCCCGGTGCCCTGAGCCGGGCTGTGGGCAGCGCTGGCACTGCCTCTCATCTCCATGCCCAGGATACCCACTGTGCTGGGAGTGGTGGGGACACAGCTCCCAGGGGTGGGGACACAGCTCCCAGCGGTGGGGACACAGGTCCCCACACAGCCCCTACACAGCTTCTGTCCCCAAAGTGTCCGTGCCCTCATCCAGGCAGGGCCAGGGCAGCCCCTCAGGCCTGTCCCTCTGGGACCTGACTCTTCCTGCTCCACTTCCCAACAATTTTTGACTGCTCCATTGCCTATTTTCCTCCTTCTTTGGAATAAACCTGAGCAGACGCTAAAGGGACTAAAACCCAGGAGAAATCCAAATGCAGCGCTCCAGCCGAGGAGAAGGCAGCAGCAGCCAAGGGGCAGCCGCAGCCCGTGGCCACCCCCAGCCCTCGGCCCGCGGCTGTGGACGGCGGCAGGTAACCCCAGTGGCACCTTCTGCCGGGCTCTGCTGGCCAGAGGAACGGCTGGTGCTGGAGCAAAGGCTCTGGCTGCCAGTTCTAACTGCGGTTTCTGGTCTCCAGGATGTTCAGCTGGTTTGTCCAGGGGCTGGAGAAGGTGATGCCGCAGCCGGTGACCAGGGAGAAGCAGGACACGCAGGTATGCTGTCTGATGGACAGGAAAAGAGCACGGGAACACCACATCCCTGACGAGCAGGGCGTCCCCTGCCACACAGATGCCACTAGATCAGTGCTGGGACCTGCTGTGCTTTGGGCTGTCACCAAGTTCTGTCAAGAGAACAAGTCCCTGTGACCCGCTTAGCTGATGAAAGTCAATGTTTGGCTTCTAAGCAGCCAAAGATCCCATAGCATGCACTTTCTTTACTGGTTCCTTGCCTTTTTGTGCAGCACTGGCTGGTGTCCAGGCTCTGGCATCTCATGCAGGTGTGGTCCCAGCTCTAAGGAGAGGTGGCAGCAGCTTTACGCAGCTCTCCTTTGCTTCCCTGGCCCCCAGACAAACTCACTGAAGTGTTCCTGCCCTGTACCACTTGTACCTGCACTTGTATGAGTGTGGGGATGCTTGTCCCCATGGCCAAGACATCCAGCTTGCCACAAAAACGGGGTACTTAGGGTAAAAGGAACATCTTTACCGAAAATGGGGCATTGAGGGTAAAAATTGAGGGTTCCTGAAAATGAGCAATGTCTCAAGGTCCCCTTCTCCTCTTGACAGGGAGTGGCCACAGCAACCTCGAGTCCTGTGGAACAAAGTAAGTGGTGGCTCCATTTCTTCTTGATGGTTTGACTGCCAAGCTCGTTATTAGCTTGGGTTGCTGGGAAGAGGGGTCACTGGCACCTCTTTTCTCCTGGTCTGCCCTGGGTGCCAGCTCAGGAGCCCCTGGAATCCCCCAGGGACTTGTTGACAATGGAGAAGAGTGAGCTGTTGCTGAGCTTGGTAAAACTCAGGCTGAGGGAGTCTCCAAGTGCACATCCTCAGGTCCTGGGTTTTGAGGTTAGTGCTGATATCAAAGTCTGTCCTGAGCTGTGTTGGAGCTGGAGGGATTTGACCAAAGAATTACAAGGGAATTCAAATCTGCTGCTTTCTTTCCCTCCTTTGGTGTTTGCCAAGCCTGGTGTAAGATGTCTAGGAAGGTATCCCAGGAAAACAAAATGCTGGGATTAGATGTCTTAGAATGGAGTCTGCATGATTGCAGGAACCTGCAGGGTTCACACTGCTGTGTGCCTGTGGAGGGGATTGAGCACCAGCTCTGTGGGCAGGGGGGCTTTGCTCCCCACTGCAGCCACTTTGAGGGATGCTGGACAAAATGCAGAGCCCCAGCTGCCTCTATGGATGGTCTGGGCAGGGTTACACACCCCTGTGCAAGTGCTGTCCCTTGAAAAGAGTGGCTGGCTGGGCTGTGATGGGACCAGGGACCTATTGAGGCGCATGGAAAATGCAGACCCCCCAGGGATATGCTGGAAAGTTACTCCTGCAGGCCAACAGCCTCTTGGCAGAACCTCAGAGAGGGAAATGCTGGGGGAAGGCATTTCTCCATGTGTTTGTACAAACCGGAGGCCTGTGTGCTGCCTTGGACCTTGGAAAGGGGCAAAGCCAGGAATGCTGCTGCATGTGCTGGGTGAGCACAGCCTTGGTGGCCAGCTGGCTTTGGTGCCTTGAGGCATCTCCAGGTCACTTAACCTGCCCAAGGAAGGGAATGATGGGGTCAAGCAAGAGATCTGCCCTGGCACCAAACTGCCAGCACGCTCATTAATGTTTTCCTTCTCCTTTTGTTTCAGGGGGCAAAGGGGCTTAGCGCCTCTGAAACAAACGGAAAACGAAGACCGTGGCAAACCAGCCCTTCCCACACCCAAAAGAGACCAGCCTGAGGAGAAAGCACAGCTGGGGAGGAAAAGCAAAGGGGAATCTGCAAATGGTCTCTAGCTCCTTCCCAGCTGGGGCAGTGGGAAGCCATTGCTGGCACAGGGACCTGGTCCCAGGGCTGTCCCACCTGGCTCCCTCTTTGCTCTGGGAATTGGAGCTACTGGTTTTGCAGGATGGTATCTATGAGATGGGAGCTGTAATTTACAGGATGGTAGAAAAGCATCACTCAGGACACCTCAGTGGCAGAAAGCCTCTTGCTGCAATCTCTCAGCACTCCTGGCCCTCTCAATGCCCCCACAACATCTGAATATTCACCCCGAGACTCCCAGCTGGAATCTCCAGGCTTGAGTCAACTTCTGCCTCTGAGGTGTAACATTATAAACCTCTTGAAGCTCTTGTCAGCTCCTTGTTGCTTTTCTTCCATAACTGAGTGTTTCCTCCCAGCAAGTGGAAAGGGCTCTGATTTGCAGCAGCAGATCAGGTGTGTGAGGTTAATCTCTAGGTGAATATGTAGGAGTCAATGATTAAACAAATTTGCCCAGGCTCTTCTACGAGAACTTACCCCAAACTCTCCTTACCCCCAACTATGGCTGCTCCCTCCTGAAGCTCACAGCTGCGTGGATGCAGCAGTAACTGCAGCAGCAGGAATGTCCCAGCAGGGAGGGGATTCCAGGGGCTGTTTCCAGCCCAGAGGTTGCAGGCAGGCATGGCCAGTGCAGGCACACTGGGCTCAGGGGGGTGGAAGCCCCTACGCTCCAGGTTTTGGATACAGACCTTGGAATAGCAGACTGGGTTGTGAGGGACCTTTGAAGTTGATCTGGTCCAGCTTCCCTTTCCTGAGCAGGGACACACTGGGAGATCTTAACCTGGCCTTGAACACTTCAAGGGATGGGGCAACCACAGTACACTATTCTTTACTTATGTCCAATATGAATGTCCCCTCTTTCAGTTTAAAACTGTTTCTCCTCATCCTTACAGACCTTGGTAAAAAGTATTTTTCCATATTTTGAATAAGCCCCCTGATGTATTGACAGACCAGGTTAAGATCTCCCACCATTGCATCTCTTTAGGACCATCCAGGCAACTGTAACAATGAGTTGTGAGCCAAGAGACCACCCTGAGATCCATCCCCTGTGTTTATATTGCATCTTGCTGGTACCAGGACACAGTCTTAGTATTTACATCATTTTCATATAATGTATCCAAAAGCCATGGTGTGCTTTAAAAGCCATTTCCCTGATTGCTACCCCATGTTTTTATTAATGGAGATCCAGAGGGAATGGGCTAAAGGCATTGTGGACACCATGGGGTGGGTAAATAAGCCACAGATATGACACTGCATGGGTTTCCTGCCTTTCTGTAGCTCAGTTTGCACGTTTCCTATTAGCTTTGTTGTGGATATGTAAGTTTTGCTGTCAGGCAGACCTCAAAATAAACCGGTTTTACAGTAAGCGGATGTGCTTCCTCCTCCTGTTTCTCTGGTGTGAGCCTGACGTGGTAGGATGGGAACCCCTGGGACATGGAGAGGGCTCATCATGGGTCAGACTCCCCACTCTGCAGCTGACCTACAGCCCCCAGTAGCCTGCTGTGGGTTTTTCTCCAGTGATGCTGGGAAGTGACAAGGGGTGTGGGATGTTACTTTCCTGGGAGAGTGCTCGGAGAGGCCAGGACACGGTGCTGAGTGTTGTGATGTGGGCTCTGGGTTGGATCTTGCAGACCCAGGGCCCTTGGGCTGTGCTAGCACAGCAAATCCCTGGGGGTTCACAAGGGGAAAGGCTTTGGGCTCTTCCAGACTGCAAGGAGAGACAAAACATGGCCTGTGCTGGGAAGCCAGCACTCACCTGTGTGCAGCGGATTAGAGCTCTCATGGAATCACAGAATGGTTTGGGTTGGAAGGGCCCTTAAAGCTAAACCCCCCTGCTATGGACAGGGACATTTTCCACTAGACCAGGTTGCTCAAGGCTTTCATGGGGTTTTGGCTGTGCTTGGTGCAAAATGATGAATTTCCTTCTTCCTCCTGGCAAAGGGGCCCAAGGCACCCGTGCAGCACAGCTCAGGGGCAGCAGGGCTGCCCAGCTCTGCAGGCTGAGAGCTGCTTCAGCACTGCCCCATCGAGCCAAGGAAACCTGGGATCTGCCCTAACCTGACCTCTTGAGAATGTGCTACTGTCACTCCATCACCTCCCTTTCCTCATTCCTGTTTCAGTTCATGTAGCCCCTGGGGAACAGGAGGAAACTCATCTCGTCCTGAAAGAGATTGATGACGGCCAGATTAACGAAGAGGTGGCGGCCTGGGCTCACAGGGCTGAGCTGGAGGCAGATGCTCATTCCCTCCCCACCATACAGGAAGAACCTCAGGAAGAGGAGAACAGGTAGGGGAAGGGAGATGCTGTTGGTGGGCAGGTCTGTGTGTTCTCCAGTCCCCAGTGTGGTGGCCATGGGAGGGGACAAGCCTGTCCCTGGGCATCCATCCTTGCAAGTGCTGGCGGTGGAGCTGCCTGTTTCCAAAATGGGGGGCATGCCCCAGTAGGATCCAAAAGCTGCTTGATCAAATGTCTTTTTCTTCTGGTGTCTTGATTCTGGTCAGGGCAGGCAGTGGCAGAGCCATGAGAGCAATTCCCTACAAAGGACAGGTGAGGGAGGCTCTGCTTAGGCTCCTGTGAGCAGATTTTGGCTCCAAGGCAAGAGGCCTTGGACCTTGTTCCCAGCACTTGTGCATGTAGCTCTAATGGCATTCAGAAATGCAAGTTGTCTCTGTATAATTCACCCTTACTTCTGCCAAAAGAAATCCCTGCTGGGGTCTTCCCAAGGGCTGGGCAGAGTGTCCAGAGGCAGGAGTGAGCCGTGCTGCAGCAGGGGGATGAGAGGGGCCCATGCATGCTCACAGAGGCTTTCTGAGCCCCCCAAAATGCTCCCTGAGCCCAGCAGAGCTGGGTGAGCACAGCATTTCCCCCTCCCACACGGGCAGTGCTGGGCCTTGCTCAGCACAGGGGATGCCCTGAGCCAGGCTGGCTCAGCAGAGCTCCCCTCTGCTGGGTCAGAACCCGCGGGATGTGCAGAGCTCCCCGTGCCAGCCACACACCCCTCGGAGGGTTTTACCTAACCAGCTTCTCCTTTCCAGACTCTGCTTGGGCTCCCCAAACGTGACCAAGGGGGAAGAGGAAAAGGAGGAGGAGGAGAAGAAAGAGGAGGAGGAAGAGAGGAAGAAAGAGGAGGAAGACAAGAGGAAGAAAGAAGAAGAAGAAGAGATGAAGCAAGAGGAGGAAGACAGGAAAAAGGAGGAAGAGGAGAGGAAGATGGAGGAGGACAGTAAAAAAGAGGAAGAGGGCAAGAAAAATGAGGAGGAAGAGGAGAGGAAGAAGAAGGAAGAGGAGAGGAAGCAAGAGGAGGAGGAGGAGGAAAGGAAGAAAGAGGAGGAGGAGAGGGAGGAAGGGGAGAGGAAGCAAGAGGAGGAAGAGGACAGGAAAAAGGAGGAAGAGGAGAGGAAGAAAGAGGAGGAGGACAGAAAAAAGGAGGAAGAGGGCAAGAAAAAGGAGGAGGAGGAGAGGAAGAAGAAGGAGGAGGAGAGTAAAAAAGAGGAAGAGGAGAGGAAGAAAGAGGAGGAGAAAAGGAAGATAGAGGAAGAGAGGAAGAAAGAGGAGAACAGGAAGAAAGAGGAGGACAGGAAGAAAGAGAAAGAGGAGAAGAGGAAGAAAGAGGAAAAGAGGAAGAAGGAAGAGAAGAGGAAGAAAGAGAAGGAGAAGAAAAAAGAGAAGGAGAAGAAAGAGGAAAAGAGGAAAGAAGAGGATAAGAAAGAGGAGGAGCAGGAAGAGAGTGCAGAGTGAGTGGCTCCCGTCGCCTTTATGGCTTTGTTGGAAATGAGCGTGATTGCAGCTTTTGTCTCAATTGCGTTGGCCAGCTGGAGGGGCTGACAGAGCCCCGGCAGAGCCGAGCTGCCTGCCTGCCGAGGGATGGGGTGCGGGAGGGATCCGGCTCAGCCCGGGGCTCGCTGCTGACGCGGCCCCTGGGGACAGGCGAGTGGCCCCCGGTGACACGGGCTGGCTCCGTGGCAACCGTGGCTCCTCCTGGGGCTCTCCGGGGGCGGGAGCAGCCAGCCTCGGGAGATGGGCCCTGCTGTTTACAGCGTGCCCATTAATTCGGTTTGGGTGTTGCAGAGCTGAATGGAAAGACAGGGTTATGTGTTGTGTCTGCAGACGCTGCTTCATACAAGTAGGTACAATTTTACATTTTTTCCTGTTGCAGGAAATAGCCGAGTTCTTGTCAGCTGTGGGAGGTGGTGACTTTGGTCTAGGTGGTATTGGGTGACATCTTTCTGCTCAGATTAGTAGTTTGCTCTGATTTCACATGAGATAAATATTTAGGGATTTATTACCTAGCACTACAATATTATTCTGTGTTAATTCCCCTAAAGTAGCTAGATTTTCAGGAAGAAGCTGAAAACACATGATTACCCAGTGTCAAACCCATATGTTTGTATTTCATCAAAATCTGTTCCTGGAGCTTCCCTATAGAAACATGAGCTTCAGTTGTGGGGGGAATAAGATGCTACTCCATCCTTCAATGTGTTTATTTATTGGGAAAAGAGAGAGACCAACAGGTTTTTTAGTTTAGGATGGAAAGATTTACGATCACATTTGAAAGGAGCATAATTTAAAATATTAAGGGGGAAAAATATTAAAAATAACAAAACAAATATTTTAATGCATTTAGCTGTCTTAAAATTCTTCTCATTATTCCAAATCCCTGCTTTTCATTTCTTGCCAGGAAATATCAAATCAAGAGATAAATGCACAGAGCAACAATTGAGGTGCTTTTATTTCAGTTATGAAGTTATATTAAGGCAATAAAATCAATCTTTAGAGCCCCTTTGTCAGAATGGTGGAGCTGAGGTCTGTGCTTGCTGCTGAAGGAAAATGAGAATGATGTGTCCTGGTGGTGTCTTGCACAAGCAAATGTGGGATTTGAATAGTGCTTATGGGAAAGCCTTGCCTGGAAATTAGCTTTCAGCTTTTTATTTGGCCCATTTCAATTATATGAGAAATTATTATGCACAGGAGGAGAAACATTCTGCCTGGATCTTTCTGCCTCTGCAATTTTTGCTTATGCACATGCCATGCCCTGTTTTGTTTATGTGCCTCTCACCTGGTTGCCCAGGCAGTATTTTTTTCTCTCCCTTGCAGACCCTTGCTGCAGCCACCTTGTCTCCCTGCTGATAAGGCTGTGGATGAAGCCTGTCTTGCCGAGGAGGCCCTCAGGGTTGAGCAGCTGGAAGAAGTTGAGATAAGTAATCTCCAAGGTGCTCTTGTGCAGGTACGGCGTGGCGCCTGCTTGGGCTGCGGGCTGCAATGAGCTCTTGCTGCCCTGCAAGTGCTGGGGGCTCAGAGCTTCTCGAGGGGATGCAGTGCCCTGGAGGAGCAGACTGGGCTGGGCACTGCACATGTTTCCCCCCAAGATATCCCCAGCCCTGAAGCTGGGGCAGCAGAAGTAGCTGTAGATGCAGGGAGGCCTCATTTCACCCCACAAGTGGGCACTGAACAACAAGCTGAGTGTCTGGCGAGTAGGAGGGATATGGGGCATCCAGCCAAACTGCAAAGTCTGCTCTTTTACTGACAGAATGGGCTTTTTCTCCTTAAAATTGCTTTTTCTTTTCTTTTTTTTTATTTTGAAGGTAGAAGAGGAGACAGCTGAAGCTGCTGAAACCGATGCTGAAGGTACAACCTGTAGCAGTATGATGCCAAACAGGGATGAGGTGAAGCAATGCCTGGTGGGGGGAGAATCGAGCTTCTCCTTTCCTGTCAGGGAGCAGGCAGTGATTTCCCTGCAGCGTGGGCCTGCAGGGGCAGTCAGGGCTTTCCACTGGGGTAAAACATCCTGAGGGCACAGCACAATGGCAATATTGGCATTGGCTGGAGCTAGCTCTGAATGTACAATGCTGTTGTTTAAGCCATGATGTGAAATAAGGGCTTCTCCTTCAGCTGGAGAATGTGAATGGATAAAAAGTATTTTCTCTACCACTTTTCTCCATTTGGGAAATAACCAATGGCATAAAACACATTTTAATATAACGTTTTAGGAAACAGTGATTGGTAATGAAGTGAGTTCCCATTGCAGCCTGACTGAGCAAAGGCACATCCTGGCAGAACTCCACTGACATCAGGAAGTTGCACGGGGAATGGCTTGGTCTCACCCCTGAGATTCTCTTTTAGAGGGGCAATGATGCTAGAAAATGCTGATTTGTCAGGAACTGCAGTGATAGGACAAGGAGTAATGGGTACAAACTGAAAGAGGGGGAATTTAGGTGAGATTATTAGGAAGAAATTCTTCACAGTGAGGGCAGTGAGATACTGGAACATGTTGCCCAGGGAGGTTGTGGATGCCCCAACCCTGGCAGTGCCCAAAGCCAGGCTGGATAAGGCCTTGAGCAACCTGGAGTGGTGGGAGATGTCCCTGTCCATGGCACACAATCTTTGAAGTCCTTTCTAACCCTTAACCTTCCTCGATTCCATGACAAACACGTGTTAGGATGCCCAGCACTGCAGCCGTGTGCTACCACCCCCTGTGAGCAGCAGGCAGCCCCAAAGCCCCGTCAGCCCCGCGTTTGTGCCGCGACACAACCCTCCCGTCTCAAACCACTCTGTGTTTTATTGCAGCTTCAGATGCCTTGTCCTTTGCTTGAAGCACCTAGCAGGCTCCTAGCAGCATGGCCAGGCGGGCCCGGGACGTCGAGCTAGACCGGCTGGTGCATGCCCAGGCTGTGGCTGGCAGGGACCGCTCCCCTCCCGGCCCTGGGGCTCTAGAGCAGCTCCCCAATGTCCCCAGCTACCGAGCCAGCGCCGCCACCCGCACCCCCGGCCCTGCCGCCAGCAAGCCAAAGGCTGGAGTTGTCAACCCCAATTTTTGCACTGAGGAGCAATCCCCACTAGGTATTAGAGGTGTTGGCTTTGACCTTGTGTGGTTAGAGGGGCGTGGGGTGGGGGGCATTCCTGGAGTAGTTGCTTTTTTTGTTGCTTTCTGGTGCGGGAAAGAATTAAAAAAAAAATAAAGCGCGCTTCGTGTTGCAGCACAGAGGCTGGGGAACAAAATACAAGTGTTTGTCTGCTTCTGCCTCATCACTATGTGCCTTTTTAGCTGAGCCTAGAGAGTGTTTGCAAATGCTGTGCGTTTAGAGCTGCTGAGAAAAGCTCTCCTGAAGGACCTGCAGGCAGAGGGTGCAATATCACCGCACAGTTTTCTCCGCAGCACTTGCGCAACCTGCTCATACTAAGGGGAGAGGAAGGTGGAGGTTTGCTGTTCATGGCTTTCTGCCTTGTCTGCAGCTTTGCTTTGCTTTGTTTTTAACCAGCAAGCCGAATTCTGCTGCTTTTCCTTACATGCAACAGCATTTTAACTTTGCAACCCAAACAGGCCTTTTCTCAGGCATTTAATCAAGTCACTCTCGATCCACTAGCTTCCCATCAGTGTGAAGCAGGAGGAGGTGCATGGGGTCTTTCAGATGTGTGAAAACCTCCCACAGAAGAAATCCTGCAGGAATTCATTGTATTTTGTTAAATAGCTAAGAAAAGACATCACACTTCACAGCTGAGCAACTGTGGGGTCAGCCAAGGTAGCCCCCAGTGTCATTTCTCCTTTGGACAACTGGCATCTTTCTTTACCCACTATAAATATCCAACCTTCCTGCTTCTAACCTTGCCTGTGGCAGGAAGCACTTATTACTTTTTCAGAAGAAAGAAGCCATAAATGCTTATTTAAATAGTGCCTTATTCTGCATGAAAAGCAAATACTGGTGGTGGTTTGGTGCTGTCACAATCCATGTGTTTACGTTCAGAAGAACCAGGAGAATCTCTACACCCTGGGAGGCAGGTTTGCTCCTGGAAGTCCTGGGTTCCTGCTTGGTTCCAGCTGGGAATCCTCATCTCCATCGTTTTCCAAACCACGGGAACCCAAAGCTCAGATGGAGTAGCTGCAATCACTGCAAGCTGGGCAAGCAGAAGGGGAGCAGATGGCAGCTCTTAGAGTGCTAGAAACTGGGCAAAAAAAAATAAAAAAAAAGATAAAGAAGTGTTCCAAATGCTTAGGAGAAAGGAGAGCCAGGCAAGAAAGGAATGGAGGGAGAAGGAGAGCCCTTCCCACACGCTGCAGGGCCTGGGGCAGCTCTGTGGCAGTGACGGGGGAGCTGTCCTGGCTGCAGGCGGGGCCCTGTGCCCCCCTCACCTGCGATTGTTGTCCTTCCCCACGGAGCAGGAAATTACCCCACCGTGGAGATGAAGGATGTGGACAGCCCAGGCCATGCTGTGGAGATCCATGGTACCCATGGACCGGTGCCTGCTGCCAGCGCTCCCAACCTGCTGGCGGTGCCCGGCGCAGCATCCCCCAGGTACGGCTCTGCCCGGCCGCGGTCCCCGGCTGCCCCCGAGGGTGCCAGGACAGGAACATTGATACAGCCACGTGGAGATGCTCCTGCCCAGCAGATCTGGACATCTGTCTATTGTCCACTTGTCTCTGTTGCCAAGTTCAGAGCACAGAGGGCATATGTGCCTTCATCTTGAAAACAAACAATGTTCTTCTTGTATTTTTGCTGCGAGGGTTTGCAGCATGTCCCCCCCTGGGTTTGTGCTTTCAGAGGAGTGGTGGAAGCCCCATCCCTCAAAGTGTTCAAGGCCAGGTTGGATGGGGCTTGGAGCTATCTGGTCTAGTTGGAAGGTGTCCCTGCCCATAGCAGGGAGCTGGACTAAAGCTGGTCTTTTAAGGTCCCCTTCCAACCCAGATCATTCAGTGATTCTTTGCTTAGAGAGAGGGAGGATTAAAACTGAGCTTTAAAATTTAGGCTGGAGAAAGCTGATGTATATTTTCTGTTGTGGCACTAGGTTTTTTTGAGGCTCACTCTTGCAGAGGATTCAAAATAGAAGCTAAAGTGGGACTTTTCTGTGCTGAAAACCAGGTGCTGTAGTCATTCTCACTTAATAGTTTGGATCTCTTAGTAAACAAGCTCCTGGAGGAGCAAGTAAAATGGCAAAAATGTTCACAATCCAGTCTGTCAAACAGCTATTTAAACTGGGACAGCAGAGCCCAAGGCTTCATGTAAAATACCTGCAGTGAAAATACTTGAGAGCATTAAACATAGCTGCAGTTACACGTGTGAGCATATAAACCCTTCTGCTGGGTGTCCAGGGAGTGTCTCAAAACAACACTGGGTACTTTTAAAAGCAAGGAACACCTGTTCTCCTGCATAAAGAAGTAATAATTATTTATTGTGAACCAGAAGGAAAATGCTCATGTCCTGCTGGTGTTTCCAGAGGAAGGAGACATAACTATGCATTGAGCAGTCACCCAGTTATCTCTAAATCCTTTCTACTGGCCACAGTCTTGTTTCCTCCATGGATCTGTGAAGGATTTGAGTGTACATGGTTTAGAGAGAGTCATAAAAGACTCATTGCAAATGAGCCACACACCTAACTGGAGCCTGGAAACAAGGTTCTGCAGATAGCCAGGATACCCTGGCTGATGCCATATGGGCAGGGACCCTGTGCACCCCACGTCTTCTAGTGCCTGTGGCCTCTGGCTGCAGCATTCTGAGGGCACCAAAACCAGAGCAAGGTTTAGGCTGGGACAGGACCTTCCATCCCAGCTGGCTGCTCCCTGGAGGGGGCTGCAGGGCCCCCTAACAGAGCAAGGGGCTGTCAGTGCAGGACAGCCCAGTGGGGCAGCGTGGTGCCCTGAGGGCACAGAGGCAAGGGAAGGGCAGATGGAGACTGCTGAGAGGCAATGGATGTTGTCCCAACAACATCCTTGGCACGACTATTTCTCCAACCTGGTGTTTTGGGAACCCCTCCATTCACATTGGAGAGTACTTTAAAAGGGGGGGTTGTGGTTTTCCTCCACCCCTGCACTGGGCACTTGGGAAAGGAAGGTTCATCAGTCTTGTTCACCTGCTCCACCTCCCAGCAGGACACACCTGAGAGCCAGCGAGGCTGAAGGTGGTGGGGTCACAGCATTTGGCTTTCTTTGTGAGATCTGTGATGGCAGGATGACCTCCCTCAGCATCCTGCTTTCTCCTGCTCCACACACAGCACCGAGACATTTTGTGCCATGGCCAGTGGTATCAGCAGCTGTGGTGGCAGGAGACAACTTCTTCATCACAGCTAAAGTTCTGGACTTGGCTGCAGGTTTGCAAACAGGTCTAGATTTTTGCTCGGACTGTTGTCTTCATATTCTGCTTCCCTTCCAACACCTTTCTTGCCCATGCGTAAGGAAGTCACCTGAGAAACCAGTCTGTGCCAAAGGGAACCCCAGCTATGTTAGAACACAGCTTCTAGCTATTGCTGGCACTGCAGTTTCCTCTCCTGCCTCTTGAAGTGCAGAGATGTGAAGCTGTGGCACTGGGGGCAAGCACAGGGCGACTCCTGCCCTTCGTGCATCTTGCCAGGTACCCAAACTGGGCTGCAAAATGGGCCAGGTGTCTGCATGTCCATGGAGCCAAGGGCTTGTTGGTGCTCAGGGAGAAACAGGGCTCTAGCAGGAAAGGAACAGGGGGGTCACTCCCATCTACTCCAGGAAATGTCAGAAATTAGGGGAAATGGACCCTAGTAGGGGAAGGGGAAAGAGAAAACTGGTCCCACCAGGCAGGGGGAGGAGGGGGAGGAGGGAGAGGAGCCAAGCTGATTCTCACTTGCTGTGTTTGTGTCTGCAGGAGGAAGCAACTGCTCCCAGAGGATGGTCTGGACGAGGGGCTGGTGAGCCAATCCCCCAGGCCTGTGCTGGGCTGGGATGAGGAGCAGAGGGAAAGGTGTGTAATGCACCCGGGGGTTCAGGATCAGCCAGGGGGTCACATCCTGAGGCTGGGCTGGAAATAGCAAAGATCCCAGGAGTGCTGGGATACCAAAGGGAGAGGGAGCCATGCCACGTGGTGTTCTTCTCACTGCACAATACCCAAATAAACACAGGTCAATCCTAATTCAGATGCTGTAGGTTAAAGAATAGGTCACGGTTCGAGGCCAGGCTGGATGGGGCTTGGAACAACCTGCTCTAGTGGAAGGTGTCCCTGCCCATGGCAGAGAGCTTGGAAAGAGATCACCTTAAGGTCCCTTCTAACCCAAACCACTCCAGGTTTCCATGACCCCCTGAACCTGCCCTGAGGCTTTCCTACCTTCATGAAATGCCCGCTGGTGTCCCCGCAGCCTGCCCCAGCGCATCGGCTCGGCCACCAGCCTGAGCAGCGCCGTCATCAACACTCGGCTGCAGGAGCTGGTGAGGCTCTTCAAAGAGAGGACAGAGAAGGTGAAGGAGAAGCTGATTGACCCCGATGTCACCTCGGACGAGGAGAGCCCTGTGGCATGTGAGTTCAGGTGGGGCTGGGAGTGTTTCCCTGCTGGGTCCCCGTACACGCTGTGTTTTCTGGGAGGCAGCTGTTTTATTAACAGTTTAAAGACCTTAAAAAAAGCTGAAGTAAGAAGATTTTTCTGCCCTTTGAAATAACTGTGTGGCCTCTCCCAGCTCCCACCAAGCCAGTGCCTGCAGCAGCACCGGTGCCTGCCCCAGGAGGAGAGCTGGAGGGGGACAAACCCTCGAGGGATGACCACTACTGTGAGATGCTGTGCTGCACATTCAAGCACCGGCCCTGGCTGGACCGCCTGAAGAGCTACCAGTTCCCCAGCAGCATCGACCCCCTGACCAGTGAGTGATGGAGCACGGCCTCGTGCCTGGGCTGGGGGCAAGCTGGTGGGACTGGGGCGAGAGGCTGAGGAGGTATAAAGAGGGGAGAACTAAGCAAGAATCAACTTAGTTTTCACTAAAGCACAGAATTTTAAATTCCTCTGCAAGGCACAGGCTTTCCTAAATACTTCCAGCTGAGGGTGTCAGGAACATGACTGGGCATTCTGCTTTCCCTGAGGCGTGGATATCCCCCCCCAAAAAATTAAAATCACAAAAGAAGATTCCACTGCCTTGTGGCCACCCCTCAGAAGGCCAGTTCTTTCTTTAGTCTCTCATATTCCTCAGTCTTTTGGAAGCCTCTGGGCTCAGGCATCCGGCCACCAGTTCAGCATGGCTGGAAGGGAAAAAGAAAACAGGGAAGTTGGTGTTGTGGGAGCAGAACAAAAGCAAATATAGCTAAATGAGCAAAGTTAGAAGAAGCTTTCTGATGAAGCATGGTGTGTTCTGTGACTGGGGGTGCTCACTCTGTGCTAGAGCCCAGCTGCAATTAAACACTGTCACCAAGAGACTTCCTGCAGGTTTTCCTGTTGTGCTGAGGGCAGGTCAGGGGATAGAAGATTCACAGAAAGGGATAGAAGATGCAGGAGATTCACACAGAGGAGGGATGTCTGCCCAGCTGGTGGTGGTGCTGTTCCCTGTGTGCAGATCTGATGTACGTGCTGTGGCTGTTCTTCGTTGTCATGGCCTGGAACTGGAACTGCTGGTTGATCCCCGTCCGCTGGGCTTTCCCCTACCAGACTCCAGCAAACATCCACTACTGGCTGCTGGTGGACTACCTCTGTGACCTCATTTATCTGCTGGACATCCTCATCTTTCAGACCCGGCTGCAGTTCGTGCAGGGGGGAGACATCATCGTGAGTGCAGGGCACTGCATCCCACCCCTGGGGACCAGCCGTGGGGACCTCCCATCCCCCTGAGGGACACGGGTGCTGCTGGGCTCTGAACCAAGCTCTCCAGGCTCTCTCACCATGGCCATGGTCATCAGGGCTCTGTCCCCTCTCAGAGACCACGAGCATCTCTCCTGACACGGGCTGGATAAGCCAGCAGCCTTTTTGTCTGCCAAACACACCATTTTTTGCTACAAAATCAATGCTATCCTATCCAGGAACTGTGTGGTCTCTGGTTCCTGCTCCTGGGTAGGGATGCCTGCTCCAGGGGTGGTTCTGCCCGTGGTGAGGCACTCATTGACAGGCCCTGGCACAGCCCTGTGGTGCCAACCTTGGGCATGGGCGTAACAAACTCTGGGGTTAATTTTCAGGAGCACGCCAGGCAGGATGCATCAGCAATTACAATCTGAACACACAGATCACATGCCTGAGATAAGGGAAGCCCTTGATTTCATTTCCATATTCAATTAAACAAACTGTGAAAAATCACACCTTGAGGGTACAGCCTCCCCATGACCGTGCAGATGCTCAGACAGGCAGTTTCCCCTGCAAATGCTGATTTTTTTGTGGTGCTGGCACTGTGATGTGCTTTTCCTGGGATGCAAAATCCCAGGATGTCCCAAGGTAGGATGAGAAGATGGCATGCAGCCAGGACTTCTCTGCTCGCTCTTCTCTCCTTTCCAGGCACAAAGGGAGCATCTTCCCTGTTGTGGTGCAGAGGAGGAAAGCCAGGCATGGCCATGTTGGCCCCAGCTTCCCTTTCTGTAAGCAATAATCAATATTCCTCTCTCTCTCCTTCCTGTTCCCCTCCAGACTGACAAAAAGGCCATGAAAGAGAACTACCTGCGATCACAACGCTTCAAGGTTTGTCAAAACTTTCTTCATTCATCTGAATCTTTAATCTGCCCTGTGGGTTGCAGCCCCACCCCAGTGCTCCTGCAGGTCCCCACAGAGGTTTCTCCCTGTGTGGATTTCAGATGGACGTGCTGTGCCTCCTGCCCCTGGATTTCCTCTACTTCAAAGTGGGTGTCAATCCCCTGCTGCGCTTCCCTCGCTGTCTGAAGGTGAGTCAGGGCTTACAGAAGCAGGCAGAGCAGCAGCTGCAGGGGATGTGAGGAGGTCTGTGCTGGCTGGGGTGAGCTATGGCTTGTCACACTCATCCATGATGACAGGAAGATTATAAAATGGAGGGAAGTTCTGTCCCAAAGGCTTTGCAGGGCTGTTGGTCAAACACTTCATTTCAATCCTAACTACTCACATTAAACTGGAAGGGTTCTTGTGGATGGAGACAAATCTGTCTGTGGCAGTCCATGCTGCAGAGGGGCTGTGGGAGGGAAATGAGGGACAGAGGGGCTTTATGGGGAGGTGACCTGGAACATGCAGCTCTCTTTCTTCTCCCAGTACATGGCCTTCTTTGAGTTCAACAACCGCCTGGAGGCCATCCTGACCAAGGCTTACATCTACAGGTGAGGGGCATGGGGGGAAGGAGGGAACATGGAAATGCTGTTTGCCACTGGGGAGGAAGGTTCCCTTCATTCTGCACTTGTTCTGGGTCCCTGATTTATTTCCCTGCTGTGCCTGGGCTGACACGGACTTTGGCTGATGTGGTAGGACATCAGGGTCCCAAAGCCTGCATGAGTAGGATCACCTCTCTCCAGCCCATGGGGACAGGGGTGCTGGCAGTGAAGGAGAGCCATCAGCAGATAAACTGCTTTTTCTGGCACTTCTGCAGCTGCAGGGCTGCAGGAGGCAGCAGCAGGGTTGGGGTGCTCTGTGATTCCTGCATTGGCAGGACCTGTATGGTCACCACTTCAAGGCTCCTACTGATTCCAGCAGACATCCTCTCCCTTCCTGCTCTCTCCTGGGTTTTTCTGCAGGGTGATTCGGACCACTGCCTACTTACTGTACAGCCTGCACGTGAACTCCTGCCTCTACTACTGGGCCTCAGCCTATGAAGGACTGGGCTCCACCACCTGGGTCTATGATGGGGAAGGAAACAGGTACAAGCCAGGGCTGGGGGTGTCACACAGCACAGCCTGCTGTGATGAGCTGGAGCAATAAGGGAGGTGTTGGGATACAGCTGGATTTATAAAAACCCCTGAAGCAAAGGGTTGGGAGTGCCAGGAGAAGATGTGGAGCCAGGGAGAATGACAAGGATGGGAGGGATGGGATGTGCAGTGATACACAGAGCTGAGAGGGCAGAGGTGGAAAGCAGTGGCAGCTTGAAGTGGCTGAAAAAATGGGATCCTGGTGCTGGGAAGCAGAGGAATGCTCCCTGGCCAGCCAGGATTGAAGAATGAATCCTGTTTCTATCTGTGTTGACTGCTGCCAGATTGGGATCAGGCCCCTCAGACCAGCCAGGCTGTGAGATGGGGACAGTGGCCAGCCCTTCCCCTCACCATGGCAACATGGTTACATGTCCCCTGTGCTGACTGATGCTACAGGCAGAGTCCTTGGCTCACAAGCTGAATGCCCACATCTGTGCTAATGTTGCTGCTAGAGAGTTATTTTGTATGATAGACAAATCTGTGTCCATCTTCAGGTGGAAACAAAACACCCAAGGGAATGCCCAAGACCAGGGCATCAGGAATTCACTTGGCTTCTCCTAAGTGCCATGCCAACGATTTCCTCACAAACACATTTTTTCCCCCTGATGATTTCTAAAAGTGTAAAAGTTGCTGAAAATATATTGCTGGTTTATGGCAGAGCTGTGAGGAGCAGAAAACAGGAGTAGCCAGAGCAGCTGAGCCTCCCAAGTGGAGGTTCCTGGAGGGACCATTGGTTCCCCTGCTCCTGTAGCATCTCCAGAAGCACCTGCAGGTGTGGTGGGGAGTCTGAAGCCCTTCAGTTTTTCCCTTTGTCATCCATAATAAATCTCAGCAGGCTCTGGCTTGCCATGGTCAGAGGCTGTGAGCTCAAAACAGAAATGCCTTCAGAGCTGCCTCCTCTTCTCCTCCCAGCTACATCCGCTGTTACTACTGGGCAGTGAAAACCCTCATCACCATCGGGGGCCTGCCAGACCCCAAGACGCTGTTTGAGATCGTCTTCCAGCTGCTGAACTACTTCACAGGAGTCTTTGCTTTCTCAGTCATGATAGGGCAGGTGAGTTGAGACAGGGGGGATTTACAGCCTCAGGTGAGGGTGGATTTGGTGGGTTTGATGCACAGGTTTGCTTCTCAGGGTTTGTTTCCCCCATGGGAAGACCTGCTCAGCATTGGTGCAAGACAAAAAGGATCTGGCAGATGCTGTTAGGGCTTGGCTTACATGCTTAACCCGCTGATGGATAAGTGATAGCAACTTAAAGTTCTCCTCCACCTCTTCCATTTAGATGAGAGACGTGGTTGGTGCTGCTACTGCAGGGCAAACTTACTATAGGAGCTGCATGGACAGCACCATTAAATACATGAACTTCTACAAGATCCCCAGAACTGTTCAGAACCGGGTGAAGACGTGGTACGAGTACACGTGGCACTCCCAAGGCATGCTAGGTGAGATCCAGCCACCCCAAGCTCATGTTTTACTGTGGTTGCTCTGCACAGCTGAAATGTCAAATAGCACTAGTTTGGGGGTGGAGGGTGGATTATTTTACTCTTCAGTATAGGGACTTGCTTGCCCACCTACAGAGTTTACAGACTGCCACTGGGTCACAGCACTTTGGTGACTTGGCATCACTCACAGCACACTGAGTCCAGTGTCCCACGTGCCCTGCAGAGAGGACAGTGCCTGTCCATCACTGGCCAGAGTGTGTCCAGCAGCAAAGCCACCAGCTCACCCTACCAGTAAGTTATCAGGCAGGACCAGAACCTTGTGTCAGCCCTTGTGGACAAGAAAAATGCTGACTTGGGCTTGGTAGTCTGTTTCTGAGAGACATCAGGGCAGGGATAATGCAAAAGGGTGATTTCCCATCATATTTCAGATTTAGACCTGCAGGTTGCTGGGTGGACAGAGGCTGGAGGAGACCCTTCTGTGTGAGCTGGCTCCTGCCCTCTGCCACCAGAACGTGGGCCACCTCCCCACTGCCACATGAAGGACACACTCTCTGATCAAGTGTTGGAAGCAGCCACTTTTCTGCTTTGTCTCACAGATGAGTCAGAGCTGCTGGTGCAGCTGCCAGACAAGATGAGGCTGGACATCGCCATCGACGTGAACTACAACATCGTGAGCAAAGTGGCCCTTTTCCAGGTACCCTCTGCAGCACAGGCCCTGGCTGGCACAGCCTGCCACACCAGCACAGACTAATGCTGGCATGTTCTGGCTCTGTTTGGGCTCAGGGCTGTGACAGACAGATGATCTTTGACATGCTGAAGCGGCTCAGATCAGTGGTCTACCTGCCCAATGACTACGTGTGCAAGAAGGTAACGAGACGCTTGGGAGCCACAGCCGGGCTGTGCAGGCCTAGGGAAAGCCAGGCCTGTGCCATCATCCTGGGTGGGAATTTGGAGCAAAAACATCCTCGGCTGCAGCTGCTCTTGTACAAAACTGACCATTTCTGCTGCAGCTCTGAACAGCAGGAGAGCAGGGGAAAGCTGGTTGGAGTCTGTGGGAGGCTGAGATGGGAATGCTGAGGAGCGAGAACCATCAGGACATTTAGGGAGCTTGGAGAGGGCAGCATGGTCATGGGGATTTCCAGCAAGATGCTGCTTAGGGCATCCATGAGGTCTCCCTGTTTCTGGGCATCCCAGCCAGCTCCCCCCTTCCCTGCAGGGAGAAATAGGCCGTGAGATGTACATCATCCAGGCGGGACAAGTGCAGGTGCTGGGGGGACCCGACGGCAAATCCGTGCTGGTGACTCTGAAAGCTGGATCTGTCTTTGGGGAAATCAGGTGAGTGAAGCATTTCAGGGAGCTGGGGAAATACAGCTTGTGGGCTTTGGGTGAGGAGCATGGGAAGTGGAAGGATCAGCAGCATCCCAATTAATCTTTGTGGCTGAGACAAAAAATTACAGCTTTTCTGCTGTTTTTGTCATCCTGTTGTCTTCTGCCCGGGGAGCTGGTGATGGTAAATATGGATAGAGGAATGGGAAAACTGACCAGAAAAAGTGTTTCACAAATACAGTCTCCCAGCCATTAATCCACCCCTGTCATGGGAATGAAAAGCCCTGTACCAGTGTAACACAGCAATACTGCTGCCTCCCCACAGCCCAGCAGACACTAGACTGGTGTAAAACACAATATTTAACCCTAAAAACCCACAAGCAATTTTTTATATAGCACTCCATTCAGCGTTTCCCTTTATCACCCTTTAAAAATTGTGCATGACAAATTCCATCAGGAGAGAAAATTAAACTCCGAGTCCCCTGAAAGAGAGAGGTGATGTGTGAAGGAGATTTGGCGTTCAGAGCCTGTGAACAGAGGTGTTGATGTCTTGCATTCTCTCCCAGCTTGCTGGCAGCAGGAGGGGGAAATCGCCGGACAGCAAACGTCGTGGCCCACGGCTTCGCCAACCTTTTTATTTTGGAGAAGAAGGACTTGAAGGAGATTTTGGTGCATTACCCGGAGTCTCAGAAGCTGCTGCGCAAGAAAGCCAAGTGCGTGCTGCTTTCTAACCCGCGGGGGTTTGTAAACAGCAGAGCCCGGGATTCGCAGTCTCGGGGGGTTTTTCTGTGTGTGTGAAGCCCTGGGGAAGCTCCTGCTGCTGGTGCTGGTGCTGGTGCTGGTGCTGGTGCTGGTGCTGCTGGTGCCGCTGCTGGTGCTGCTGGTGCTGCTGGTGCTGCTGGTGCTGCTGGTGCTGCTGGTGCTGCTGGTGCTGCTGCTGCTGCTGCTGCTGCTGCTGCTGCTGCTGCTGCTCCTGCTCCTGCTCCTGCTCCTGCTCCNCCCCAAGCAGCCATTACACCTTCTGCTCCTGCTCCTGCTCCTGCTCCTGCTCCTGCTCCTGCTCCTGTTCCTGCTCCTGCCCCTGCTCCTGCTCCTGCTCCTGCTCCTGCTCCTGCTCCTGCTCCTGCTCCTGCTGCTCCTGCTGCTCCTGCTGCTGCTCTGCTGCTGCTCCTGCTGCTGCTGCTGCTCCTGCTGCTGCTGCTGCTCCTGCTCCTGCTGCTCCTGCTGCTGCCGCTGCCCCGCTCCCGGAGCCGGCTCCGCTCGGCAGAGGGCACCCGGCCCCCGCCGCCGCCTCCGGCTGCCAAAATCCCCCTCTCGGAGCGGGTGGAGCACGGCCAAAGTGCCTTCGTTTAAAAAAAAAAACTGTCCAAAGATTCGTTTTCGTTTCGATTAGATTTGTTATCCTGTCCTCCCTATGACACATAAAGACCCTTGTCCCTTTGACGCTCGGTTTCCCTGCATTATAAATCCAGCTTTTAGCACGTGTTCCCGGGCTGACATCGCCTCTCCCTTTCCGTGCCGTAGGAAAATGCTGAAAAGCAACAAGAAGCCCAAAGATGAGAAGGGAGGCCCCGGAGCTGCGCTGATCATCCCCCCGAAAGCTGAGACCCCAAAGCTGTTCCAGGCTGCCCTGGCAGCCACGGGGAGGATGGGGGGCAAAGGGCCCCTGCGGCGGCTCCGCTGGAGGCTGCAGGAGCTGAAGGCGATGCAGGAGACACAGGTCAGCATGGAGAGCTTGAGGTGCCTTAAAGGACCGAGCTCAGGATGTTGGGGTCTGTCAAAGCGGGAAGGGCTGAGCCAACATCTTGCACAGGCCTTTGGGGGAATGCCAGCGTCCCACAGGGGTTTGCTTTGCTGTACCAAAGGGAAAGACATGAAATTTTGGCCTACCTGTGCTAAGCCTGAGTCTAATTTCTGGCTGGGCTATAACCACAGACAGATGAATGTCTCTTCTCTCCTGCAGAGACAGAGCCCCTCAGAATTAATCAGTGCACTGGCAGGGACACCCAGCACCCACAGCCCAGCTGATATTCCAAAGTTTTCACCAGAGATCCCCACAGCAGGCAATGCCATCCTGCCACTTCTTTTCCTCCCCTTTGCTTTTTGTCATGAGCAGCTGAAAAGGAAAACCACCCTGTCCTTTTTTTATTTTTCCTTTTTTAATTCCAGCTGTCTCGACTAAACTTGTAAGGAAAATTTTGTCTCCATGCAGACCTTTTTACTATTGTCAGCATGGAACCAGGCACACTTATCACATCTGGATGTGCAGAGGGAGGGGAGAGAGGAGCTGATAGGGAGTGTGGTGGCCTTGAGGCTGGGTAAACAGCAGCCAAGCATAGCTGCAGTCCTTCAGAGGCACGAGAGCCTTCAAACAATGTGGTGTTTAACATTAATCCATAACCAGTTAACAGCAGCAGTGAACAGTGTCACTGAGGGCTCTGAATGAGTGGAAAAAGCCCAGTTGCTGAAGGGTGCATGGGAACTAGCCCCACTGATGGGTGAGCAGGGCCCTGCTAACTTCCCTCTGCATGCCACATCCGTGGGGGAGGCTTCTAAGGCTCCTCTCTAAAGGAGGACAGGGCAGTCTGGGACTGCTCCCCCACAGCAGCACTGCTGCCAGGTTTGGCCAGGATCAGCCCCTCCAGAAGCTTCAGGAGCAAAACAAGAGTTAGTGCAGATGTGAGAAAGCTCCGTTGTGCTCCTCTCTCCGCGTTTCTCAAGGCATCAAGCTGACATCCCAAGGCAGAGATCCTGTGGTGGGGCCACAGAACACCTGTCCAGCTTTGCCATGTTAGGGGTAGTGGGCAACGATCTGCTAAGGTTGGTTTTGCCTCTTTTTTTACTTGCAGGTTTCCAGTGTCAGCCCAACCCCACCAAAATCACCAGTGCACCAGAGATCACCTGTCATGTCCCACAAAGCACAAACCCGCCCAGGAGAAGAAATATCCTCAGAATCTTCTGATCATTCAGTCACCATTCGTGTGATTTCCACAGCAAAAGAAGAAGAGGAAATCCTTGCTGCTGAGATTTCAGAGAAAGATGAAAAAAAAGAAGAGAAATGAAACAGCAGCAGGTCCCAGGGCAGGCGTAGGAGTCAGGCAAATGCCTGGGCTAGCAGATTTTTGTTGTTAATGATTTGCATGCAGTGGCTGTAGGTTTTGCTATGTGCTGTGGGTAGGATCTGCCTCTCTCTTCTGCCCAAACCCTCAATCACTGCTGAGAAAAGCCTCTGCCATCTGACCCAGAATCATACAAGGTTTCTATGCTCTGCAGATCTATTGAGCACCTTTATGAATTTCCCACTAAATCTCAGGTCAGCCCCTTTGCTTTGAAATCCAGCCTTGTGGAGGGAGAGCTATGGAAAAACTGCTTTTTATGGCTCTGGATGGTTAATGAGTGCTCAGACAAAGCATGAAGAGTTATTCACCTCTGACAGCTGAGTCACTGCTTGGCTAGAAACAACCAAGGGAAAAAAAACAACAAGGTTTCTCTGTTGGGCTCAAGGTTGACAGCAGCAGTGGGGAGTGATTCATCTGAAAAGGATGTGGGCTATGCTCACAGGCCAAGCATGGAGCAAATTAAACTGTCCTGAGAATGCCAAGCTCTGTCCCCAAGTGCCCAGACTGCAAGATGCTTGAGGGTCCCTGCGTGGTGCCAAGACAACCTTGGCTCTGCCACTGGGAAGAATTCCTGCCAGCTGTCCACCCTGGGAAGGTGGTGGACTCTCCATTACTGGGGGTTCTTATTGAGAGGTTTGATGAGCATCTTTCAAGGATAGACAAGCACAATCCTGGATGAGATGTTCCTGGAGGTCTTTTCCAGCCTTGGGATTTTTCTGTGCTGCCACAGCAGGGAGGGATAGAGCAGGAAGGGAGAAGCTGAGTTGGTTCCCAGCTGGGAGGGGAATGAGAAGTGCAGTGAGTGCTCTCCTCTCCCAGACAGTGTTTCAGAGTCAGCTCAGAGCCTGTAACGTGCCAACAAGCATGCACGAGCATGCAGGTGCTCCCCTGCACTCATTGCTGGATGTCCACATTTCCAGCAGGCAATTTCCAGCCTTTCAGTCACTTCAGACTGGCTCTTGGCCACATTTCCCATGGAGAGAGAAGCCACTCTGGTGCTGCTCATCACTGGAGTCATGAAGTCACTCTCCCAGCCGTGCTGGGACCGGGTGCTGGAGGGGAAGGGAAACATCTGGTCAGCAGCCAGCACCCAGCTGCTGGCTCAAGGTGTCCCATCTTCTTCCAGCACACCACGTCCTTCCTCATCTTCCTCAAAGCCAGCACCGAGCAGAGCAAGCTGCTGGCGAGCTGAGAGGTGGTGAGCAGCGCATGAGGCAGCGCTGGATGAGGTTCTGCAGCTCCTCCCCAAGTTTTGGGCTGTCCCTGTCCCCACAGCACCACTGGCTCCATCGAGAGGAGCCACTCTCCATCCTCTGGAGGAAAAGGGCAGGTTTTGCTGCAGGGCCCTTTCACCATGGCCAAGGGGCTTCTCAGGTGCTCAGCAAATGCTGTGAGCAGTGCTGCAGGTTCCACAGGTCTGGCTGTGACACAGCCAGCTCTTGGTGAAGGGTGGCAGCGCTGGCGTCACCCCCTGGGTGATCCCTCTTCCCATCAGCAGCCTGGGGCTGACCTTCACCTCCTTTGGGATCTTCTTTTCTTGCTTTCTTGCCCCCTTCTCTTGCAAAATGTATGGGTTTCTGGGGGGAGGGGAAGGAAAAGAAAAAAAAAGCCAAAATAGATGTTAGAATTAGTTAACTATGTCTTGTCTTCTTTTAAATAAATTTAATGAGCTCCACTATACTGCAGGAGGGTCTGAAACCATCATATTGCAGGAGAGAGCCTGCACTCACCCAAACCTCCCTGAATATTTCTCATCCTCAGTCATTTGCAGGTGGTTTCCTGCCAGGTAGAAGATTTTGGTGGGGAGTGCAAAGTAGAGGGTTTTTTGCATTCTTTAAATATTTATATAATCAAACCAGGAAACATGCAAACATCAAATTGAGGCTTTGATTTGCTGCTATGATTTAATATTCTTTAGAAAAAGCATTTAAATAAATAGTGGGCTATAATTGCTCTCATAATTCACTGTATCTACAATAAACACCATGTAGATTGCTATTCATTTGCTGTGGATTTATTTCAACATTCCAGCTCTTTTTCAACTTCTTGCTCACTCATGCACTGAGAGAGCCAGAAAATCCTCACATGCAGTTCACATTTCCCAATAAATAATTGAGAGGCTCAGAGGTCACATAATACTGGTCAAAGAATCGTAATTTGCCTTAAATCACCAATAGGAGGGGGGAAAAAATCTTTCTTAAATAGCAAAGATTGCTTGAAGAAATCCTAGTTTTCAACATGCAGTGTGAGCTGGTGATGGATACACAACTGGTAATTCTGGAACCATGGGGAGATCTGAAATTATCCTTCTCTGTGATCTGTTTATGGCTTTAGTTCTTTGGAGAGATTATTCTCCAGGTAATAATTAAGGTCAAGGTAGGGCTAGGCTTGCAGGCTGGGCTGGGAGTTGAGCTCAGGTCTATTTGCTCTGCAGGACTATTTAGAGAGGCCAGAGATTTCAGTGCTTCTTGTTTTGGGGGTTGCCATGGATTGGCTTTCTTCTGTTGAACTTTTAAATTCCATTCATTTACCAGTTTTGCTGTATTTGCAATGGGCTTCCTTTGCATTGGTTCCAATAAATATCTTGCAGAGGACACTCATCACCACTGCCCTTGGAATGTTCCTGATGGATTTGGTAACACTCCATGTACCTTTACTGCATCTCTTATTAGCTTTTGCTCATTCCTCTTGACGTCCTTAAGTCTTGGGTCGATCTGATATGAGATCCTCTCATAATATTAATGCAGCACTTGGGGAATCTTGGCGGGCAGCTGCTTATTGCCATAGAAACCAGGTCTTCTTGCAGTGATATTTTAGCTGTTGCTGCTTTTTAGTGAAATAAGTAGAATAGAGAAGTGCTGGAGGAAGAAGCAGAGCTTGTCTTTGGAGCTGTAGGAATGTTAGGTAGGATTTGCCTCACTGTCACCAGTAGCATCTTTACCAGAGGCTTTATATATACTGTTTATATTTTTATATATGTAATTATTTTTGTTATACTGGAGTTGTATTCATATTCCTTGTGGTCTGTGTCTTTCAGAGAATTGATACTGATTCAATGTTCTGTAGGAAGTTAGAGAAGACAAATGTCTCCCATTAGAAAAAATCAGCTGACAGAAGGAATAATATAACCCACCACAGACATCTGACAGTACAGGAAGTTATTTTCCCCTGGACAGAAACAGGGCAGGTAGTTCTCTGTATTTATAGCCAGAGAAATCTTTTAAAAAGATTAAGTGCAATTGCAGGTTAATCACTGATAAGGTTCTAACGAAAGTAAAAGCAAATAAGCAGGTTTGGGGATTAGACTCAGGTCCAGAAAGAAATTGCAGGATAAATGGAAAGCCCAGTTAAATGGTGTTTAATTAGAAAGCTTGAAATAAAATTAAGCACTTCAACCTTGAATCCTGCAGCCCTTAACCAGCAGGACACACTCCTAGTTCTGGGAACAGTCTGTAACCCACTTTTTCTGTCTATATATATTTTTTTTCCTTTTTGTAGCTCTGCTTCGAGTGACACTTGCATATAAATCTTTCTGAATCTCTTTTACCTTCCCCTAAAATGGAGCTAATACAAGTCTGTTTTACTCTGCTCTGAGCACACAGCTCTTTTTAAGTGCAGTAATGGTCCCACTGGAGTTCACACCCTGAGAACAGCCAGGCCACCTTTTGGGAAGGGGCCACACAGAGGTTCACAAACCTATGGATGTCCATGACAGCTCTTGCTAGCAGCAGCCTAGGCTGAGCTTAGGCTCAGTGACCTTTTCCTTTCTCATTCTTTCCTCATTTACCTGTTCTGGTTTTGGGATGAAACTTGGGATGAGCTTTGGTTCATGCCCTCGGGGGTGAATGTCTGCGGGAGATCTGTGCAGGATCAGTCAGCTGGGTTTGATCATCTCAGGAATTAAAGCCTAGAAACCTATCTTCTTTCATGCAGTTTTCCCTGCTTTTGGAAGTCCCTTGATGCATGAGAAGAGCTGGAAGTCGAACAGTTAAAGTCTCAAAACTGTTTTCTTGGATGAACTGGAAGAAATTTGAGAAGAAATGTACACAACTGGAGAAGAGGGATAAATGGGTTTGTGGGGATGCCAGAGTACACTCCTGCCAGCTCTGGGCTGTGACATCCTGGGGACAACCAGCGTGACCCAAATTGCTTCACCGCGTTTGCAGATGCTCGTTTTGCAATCCTGAGCTCAGCGGGAGCCTCGCTGCTCCCTCCCCAGCTGTGCCTGCCAGCAGTGGTGGGGAGGCCCGGCTGTGCCCCCAGCTCTGGGAATGCTGGGGGGGCTGCCTGAGCATCCAGGGCACCCTGGAGCCTCCCACGGCTCTCCCGGGGATGCGCTGGATGTGTCCCAGCCTGAGCATCACGGGGACGGTCCGAACTTGCCCCACGGTGAGCATCACATGAGCTGCCCCATGATGCTCTGCCTTAGCAATAAGCAGAGGAATGAAGACCAGCCAGACCAGTCACTCATTCTAGATAAGAGGCTCTTTTGTGCTGCAGAAATACCAATATCACGTGCAAATCCCTCCGCTGCCATGGTTACTGGCCACCGTCAGAGGCGGCTGTGGCATCGACAGGGCTTCAGCTCCTCCCTTCCCGGAGAAAGCCCAAAAAACCTCACTCGGCCCCAAAAAGGGCTGCAGGAGCCTGCAGGGAGCCCTGGCCCGGCATCCTGGTGGTCACAGCTCGCTGCCGAAGGAGGTTCTGCCCTGCCACCGGGCATTGCGCTCTGGGTTTTCTGAATTCCTCGCCAATAGCCCCAGATATTACTAAAAAATGAGAAAACAGCGCTGCAGCTTGGGTGGGCAGGGATCAGCTATGCCCCATTTCCTGTTTTTCTGGCGTTAGGAACAGCTTGACCTCTTGGCACTCTTGCTTTTTGCACTAATGCTCTTCTCATTAAAGTGCTTTCCTGAGCACTAATTAGGGCGGTTTTCCTTTTGTAAATTAGCCTGATACGATCTGTGTGTCTTGGCAGACACCCTCGGAGCAGGAACCCAGGGCTTTGCGTTTGATCGCTGTTTATTTTGCAAATTTCTCCAGTTTCAATGTTCTTAACTGCCTTCTAGAAAGTGCTGGCAGGTGGAAATTAATGGGAGGGAAATGGGGTTTTCCAGCTGGCCTGCCTTGAGAAACAGGAGATTTTTGGTGCTACAGGGGCCTTCCAGTTGCTGTGGGTTAATGGATGCTGTGGGCACACAGAAGCTCCGTCCTGTCCCATCCTTGCATAGTGTGCAATGGAGGAGCAGGGCTCAAGGAGAGGCCCTGCCTGAACCAACCTTTAAACAATAGAAATAGAAATAGACAATAGAAAATGGGAAATCAAGTTAACACTTGATAACAAGATAACTCATTTTCTGCAGTTAATCAGAAATTTTTTTGTGACCAGACCCAAGCAACCCCAAACCCGTCTAAAATTGGATGTCTGTGGACAGAGGGAAGCTCACCTGTCTGCCACTGCCCCTAAATCCGTGGTGTCAGCAATTTGCTGGGACCAGTGGTGCTCAGGAGGGGACGGACTTTAATCAGCTCTCATGTTCTTAAAGCACTGGCAGATGGGAGCAGAGGGGACGGTGCTGTCTCTGGCCACAGATGGGATAGAGCCACAAGGGATGGGCTGAGAAATTCAGTGGTGAAGGCAACAGTGGGTGCAGGAAGCCATCCTCTGCCTTGGCTTGCTGGGGAGGCTGGAGCGAGTGGAGCATCCCTGGGGAGTCCCAGCGCCCTGTCTCTGCAGCAGCCCTGGGACCCTTCTGGGGCCAGGCACCACTAGGGACCCTCTTTACAACAGCATCCACTGCTCCACAGGAAGGGGAGAACTGCAGGGGGGATTCACTCAGGGACCCCTGAGGCTGGGACAGTCAACAAAGTCCCTGATGAAAAGACAACAATTTTTAAATGCTGGTGTGCCAGCCCCGCGGCACGGTGAAGGATCCCACCCCAGAGAGCTGCTGCCAGCATAGACCAGCCCAGCCCCTTCCTGGTGTCTGAGAGGGGCTTGAGGAGGGGTTCTCTTATCCCCTGGATATCTGGACCATATCCAGAGCTCAGCAGCCCTTCCCAGGCTGTGGTGAGCCATGCACACCCTGTGGGTGCTGGCAGGACTGTCGGTGCAGGGCTGGAGCTGGAGGAGCAGCAGGAGGAGCAGGATGCAGGCTGTGGAGAGCATCCCTGCCCATGGTGAGGAGTGTGAGCACCACAGCCTCGAGGGCAGCTTCTGCAGACCCATGGACACCATGAGGAGACTCGCCTGTGGAGGAGGATGCTTCCAGAAAAAGTGTCCAGGACCAGGGTTGGCCTGGATGGCTCCACAGGTGAGAGCAGTGGTGGGGGCTGGGGGCAAGCAGGGCAGAGCCTGTGTCAAAATCAAAGGCTGAGAATGCAAACCAGCACAATGCCTTTGGATTGGAGTTGTTTTCATGAAACATCCCTGGATGTTTGCTCACAGGCTCTGTGTTTATTTTGCTGTTGCTTCCTAGGGGGTTAATTCAGCTGCACATTTTGTCTGGTGGGCTGATAAATAGAGATGCCTGAGCTCTGGTCCTACCTCAGCTGGGATACTGAGTGCCCTGGCCGTGCCCTGCTCCCACCTTGCATACCATTTCCTTCTCCATCTCATCCTTTTTGTTTTACCTGACACCTCTCTTGGACCTGATGTGAAAGCCCAGGAAGGTTTACATGAAGTTCCCAGCGAGCTGGCAGTTATTCCACGTCAATCTGCACAAACCCTGCCTGCCCTGCCAGCTTTTCCTTAATGTCTCCTTGTTTTTCCAGTTGTGAGTGATTGCTGAAGGGATCTCCTGGCAGAGAAGACTCGGGTTCACCCTTCACATCCCGTTCACCTCTAAGGCACATGCATGAAAATCTGGGTGTGGGTCTCCTCTCCATAAAGAGAAATTAAATCTGCTCACGCGGCGCCGGGCGCAGGCAGCAGAGCTGAAGCGTGTGGCTGTTTAATATTCATTGGGCATAGATGTAAAACTTCTCTGTTCTAAAATAGTC